CTGCACTTGGGAAGGAGATGGAGCGTGGTTTAGTGAGGGGTAGGGGCATGAAGGGGGGCCGAGAGCGGTCCTCAAAAGACTCCACTCTGGCTATACCCCTGTTGCTATAACTCTTAGGTGCACCTTGCCTTCTTTGCCTCTCTTTATAAAGCAGAAATGTGGTAGGTATTTCTGAGTTACGCTGTGGATTTCCCACACAGGACTGAAGCTGTGGGGAGCCACTTGTACTCCTTCGATCAAGCTCCAGCACCCGAATGGGCCCATGGTGACTAGATTCAGACGATGACCTGGAGGAGCGGACACTACCATCTCCACAGGCTTTGCTTTCCGATTTTTTCTTAAATGTTAAGGCCAAGAAACGTTTAAATGAAGTCTTCTTCTTTTTGGGGTTGTCAGGAGATTCATGTTGGATTAGAAGTGATGGAGAGCTTTTGGTCACAGGCCTCTTAGTTATGTAAGCTAACTCAAAGGGTGGTGGGATATCAACTAGAGATGTAGGTGTCGACACGCCACTGGAGGACTGGTGACTTCTTTGAGAAAAGCTTCCAGAGGAAGTAATCACACAGGGCAAAGAAAGTGTGTCATCTTTTTTTTGCAATCTGCAGTCCTCTCTAGGAGATTTCTCACCCTCAAAGTGCCCTGAGAATGGCAAATCTCTGCCCTCATCAGAAAGCAACCGAGGAGAAAGAAGAAAGCGCCTTGGCTTCAACGAGGGAACAATTTGGTTTGCCTCTGTTTCATCTGAAAGCTTGGGCTGTGGAACTCCATTCTGGTCCAAGGCCACAGTGTAGTAGTCATGAGACTGGTACTCAGTGCCCGTCTCTTCAGGCACAGTCTCAGGAACATATCCAGGTACTTTCCCAGAGAGCGAGCGAGATCTCGTCACAATGCTCTTCCTGTCCAGAGAGATAAAATTCTCACCTTCGAAGTCAAAGCCAGCCTCCTCGTAAATGTGTTCATCACTTTCTGTGTCTGAGTCCTCAAAGAAAGGCACAATATGACAGTCCAGCTCTTCAATATCCTCTTCAAACGCTTCTGTGGTGTGGGCAAAAACCACGCGGTTTGTAAGTTCTGGAGTTCTGCCTATATCCAAGTCAGCAGGAACAGTGATGTTGCAAAGTCTGAGACGTGGCTGACAGCTATTCCTCTGACTTAAGAGAGCTTGACCCCTTCTTACTGATCGTTCTCTTATACTTTTGCCCTTGGTTTTCCTCTCCATGTTTATCGGCTCATCTTCATCTCCTATCTCAACGTAATCTTCAGATGACACACACTCCACCTGCTGATCTTCACCATCGTTGTCTTTGATATCAGCATAGTCATTCACTTCTTCATTTTTTGCCATCTCTTGACCCTCAGAAGCAGGATGAGAGGCATAATTTTCTAATTTTGCCTGTTCCTTCTCTAACTCTGCCACATCATCTGATGATACGTAGTAAGGCTCTTGGTTTGACGTTCCCTCTGTTGCGATCTCAGAGTCCATTGGTTTCTCATTGCTGGACTCATCATCAGTGCATCTTGCTTCTGGATCAGAGGTACATGTCAAATCACTTGGCACAACCTCTATGACAGAGTAGGGCTCAAATGCATCTTCTGTCTCCTCTGCAAACCTGAAACGTCCAGATGGGTCTTTCGTAGCACGTTCAGCTTGCCAAGTACTGTTGTCATCCAGTGTGCCAATGACATCATAAGGGTATTCCTCACATAGTGAGGGTTGACTGCAGGTTGTAGCCTTTGAAGAATGTCTAGTCTCATCTTCTTGTGCCTCATGAACGCATTTTACATCTGCTTTAGTGTCCTCTTCATGCTGATTACTGGCACAATAAAAACTGTCTGATGGTGGTTCCTCAAACTCCTCATACAGACTTTGAGATTCACTTACAGGCTGATCTATATTTAGTGTCTCATTCTCAGAAAATTCACAGATGTCCTCAAGTACATTATACGCATCTTCTCCATTCTCAGCTGGCTTGATATCATCAGAGTTTTTGCTGAGGTCCTCATTTGCTGAATCAAAAATTTCATAGACCACTTTCGATAAATCTGAAGAGACTGCATGCTGTACTTCAGTGGCTTGATGAATTTTACCTTCATCCTCTCCCACGGTTTCATCCACAGCCATTTGTAATTCTTCCTCTATTTCATTATAGCAACTTGTGTCATGGTTAGTGTCATAATTTACAATAAACTCTTTGTCAGATAAGTTGTTTTCCACGTCATCATCTGTACAGTTTTCTCTGGATGTATCTGCTTCATCCTGTGTGACATCTGATTCGTTATCCTGGTTCAGCTCCAATCTGTCAGAGGATGTAATGTCCCCATTGCCCACAATGCTTTGGCTAACCTCAGAGGCTAGCCTTGGTTTTGGTGCCACAGGAGGTTTAGGACCTCGGGTGGAGGGACAAGGCCTTGACATCAGGGTGGAGCACACAGTTATAGTCAAATGGCTTTGTCTTTGGTTGATAAGCTTGGAATTGCTTCTAAAAATCTGCAAACAGAAAGAGTGAAGAAAATTACATTTCGATGTTGAATTGGATATCCTTGCCCTAGCAATAGAAATAAGTGAAATAATCTACAAACTGACTGACAACATGCCATTATGAGCTCCTTTAGAGCAGCATATTGATTGATCTACATTGACCATTTGATTGATGAACTGCAACCTCTGAACTTAGAACATAATGAAGTGATTATATGCTAACTCCATTCACAACGAACAGCATTTTCACAACCGTAAAAAAAAAATTATGGAAATAACAATGGAACATGGAAATAATAGCAAATAATAAGATCCCATCCATTGATTTCAAAGTGCATCTTCTCAAAAAGGGTTAACCTGAAGGTCATTTTTGGTGAAACACACCCTTTCTGTTAAAAAAACTCATACACCCCTTGTCTTTTCCTGTTATTTGCTACCTGCCTTGACGCACGTCCTATTAAACTCACCATGCACTTGGTGCTCACCCTGCTAAGATGTTGTTTCCTGACACAACTAATTAACTATTCCAGCAGACTCTCCTGGAAGGACTGCAAAAAAGGAATTGCAAAGGGGAAGGACATTAACAGTGCACCCTGTCTCCTTCATGAACCCCCCTCCCCATTTTTTTCTACAAGAGCACAGTTTTGCACAACACAACTACACTTCCTTCTCGTCAGTCTTCCCATGATTCACTCTCCAGTGATAACTCCAACCCCTCACAACCCCCCAGACTGGGTTTTTCTTTTTCTTTCTTTTTTGGCTGAAAAGGTCATTTCAGTGTGTTAAAGAACAATAAAAAGAGAAACATCAACATCCCAACTAAGGTCCCCTTGGCAAAATAACAGGATATGAATTATGCAACAAGAATTCACTTAAAACAAATGGTTAAACACAATGGGAGGAATAAAGGGAGAAACAAACTCTTCACTGTGCAAAGCCATCAGTACATGATCTCAGATTTGGGCTGTACAGTGCTTTGCTAATTTAGTCCTACCAGCTGAAAGTGAACAGGATAAACTGAATAAACGATTCACATAAATGAAGAGCATCTCTCTCTCTCTCTCTCT